CCGTTTTTAAAAAAAATTAACAACCTGTTTAATAAACTGAATAAGAAAAAATTAACTCATATTTCTATGAATATTTCCAATAAATGCAAGGTGCCATAATGCATACTTAAAAATTGCTGTGCGTACTTAAAAAGAAATAACCCAAGTGAGCGTTCCGATAGTTGGTAAGAATAACTGGTAGTATAAGCCGATGCAGAAATTATTTTTGCCTACAAAGTGACGATTCTCGTTAAGGAATAAAAAAAAAAGAAGTTGCATGGATCTTCAAATGAAATGACAACGAATTAAGATTTTAAATGCTAAAATGGAAAAAAAAAATAGCGTTGCAAATGGCAATTATCTCCCTTTGGTTAAGACGAAGTCACGAGAGTCACGTGAAGACCGGTAAAGACGGGATTTAGTCGAGTGACAAAAACGGAGTTACTATTTAGCACGCGTAGAGACAAAACGGGAGTTGCTGGTGTTAGACGGCTAAGGCGCTAGACGCCATCTCAAGCCCACATGGGGAAAAGAAGAACTTACGTGGTAATTCGAAGTTCATAGAACGTACCCTCATTTTTTTTTCAGGAAATATTACAAGTAAGACCCTCTCACTTCTTTTCATTCTACTATACTATATTTTACTATACTATACTATACTATATATATATATATATATATATATATATATATATATATATATATATAAAGGCTCAAACACTAATATTGCGTGGTTATAATTTATTACATTCGAATCGTAATCACGATCCAATTCATCAGGCTTACAAATTAAAAAAAAAAAACATTTTTTTTGAATTTGTAGATCTGATGAATGTGATCGTGATTACGATTTCAATGTAATAAATTTTAACCGTGGAATATTAGTGTTTGAGCCTTTTATATTATATTCTTGCTCTGTACTGGACATTGAGCTCCATCTGGATTCTATCCTCTTGGAAATTTATATATATATATATATATTGTGTGTATTTAGGCAGCATATTTTCATTTATACACGTTTCAATAAATAATATAGACAAGTGTTGTCTATTTATTTTATGTAAAATTTTTCGTATCTTCTGATAAGTTTGGTAACATTATCATTAACCGAAAAAGAAATTCACAATATTTATCCATTATTTTTTTTAAAATCTAAGCTTTCGGCTTACTCAAGCCATTATCAAAGATGTAATTACAAACATATCAAACAATATACGGACACGACAGCGATGATAGTCTGTCATTGTTTAGTTTACATAGTGGATCACTAAATGAACGATGAACACGCGCATATAAGACGCTAGAAGCGAAAATCGCGCCGCATCTCATGACGTCACACATGACTACATCGAGAGTGAATTGTAGAATGAAATAAGGAAAGCCGTTGGTATAAACCAATGGCTTCTGTTACCAATTATAGAAATTATAGACATTTAAGAATATTTGTAGAGATTCCATAGTTGATTTTGTTTAGGTTGGGTTTTAACTGTTTGATGTATAATGCTTCAAGTATTTTTAGTTTTTGTCTATTGTTTTCATGTCGAAGTATAGTTGTGTTTTCGACAAGTATTTTACGGAATTGTGTGTGCGGGCAGGCATGTTGTTTTAAATGCCTAAAAAATTTTTCGGTTAATGATAATGTTACCAAACTTATCAGAAGATACGAAAAAATTTTACATAAAATAAATAGACAACACTTGTTTATATTATTATTTAATGAAAAATATATATAATATATATATATATATATATATATATATATATATATATATATATATATATATATATATATATTTGAAAATATTTTTGAGGTACAAAATCTAATAACCGAAGTAAAAGTGTGAGGATTGATATTACTAGACATTTCTAAAAACGAAGCAATCGGTTTTCTTTACTCATCATATATATATATATATATATATATATATATATATATATATATATATATATATATATATATATATATTTTTACAATTTGTCTTGTCTGGGAAAATTAGTGACAGATATTTACATATAATTTCTTGTATGACAGCGGTATATAAATCTTTTCATTTCAGCTCAAGCAAGGGAATAAAACCTCTAAGACGCTAAGTAGTTACTGAGTGTGAAAAAATATGAGAAAAAACATCGTTAAAAAACTTTTTTTTGGCATAACAACCTCTGCCAAAATATAAATTCTTTGTATTCAATTTTATTTTATTTTATTTTAGAAATTATTCGTTTTAGTGATAAAAATCTTACTTATCTTATATTGATATTAATATTAATAATAGTAATATAATAATAACAATAGTTAATTATAGTAATAATAATAATGATAATAATATGTAATTTTAATAATAATATGTAATAAAAACAGCTATGTTATTGATTTTATGTGTTATGGTGAGATTAAACCTTTCCATGCAGGAAATATTCGATAGCAATCACATAATGTCTTATTAACATATAAGTGAAATACAGTAATAATGATTTCCAATAGAAATGCATTAAAATATTTTTTCTAAATAAATGCATTCGAAATTATAAGCAAATGGATAGTCACTGGTCAAGAATTAAAATAAGAGTTACTTAAAATGTACATTAATAGTTTCGCCCAGCACAGCAAATTGCTACGAAACCAAAGCATCAACTTGAAAATTTATGTCATGTTCTTAAATATCCTCGTCAAATTGAGATTTTCATCTGGAAGTCATGCTCGACGCCAAACCTGTTCAGAAATATCTAAACTGTCAGCTGTATACAACCGTTTCCTAAGATCAATAGTGAAAAAAGGCTTTGGGTGAGGTAAGGTGTTGGCGAAGATCATCCTTATTTGAACCATGTGGATTGGCGCTACAGAATCACAAACAAAGAACTGTACCAAATAACAGAAACCACATCACTTGATAAACTACCAATAACAGCAACAACTGAAATGGACAGCACAGGTATCTCGGACAGAAAATAATGACATGATCAAAATGTTAACCTTCCACACCCCTTTAAATAGAAAGATAAGAAGAAAACCCCCATGAATACTGAAAAGTGCGAGGACAGCCACTGAAGTTGAGAAACCTGTTTTCTTCTTTTTTTTTTTAAAGTGTTTTAAGAGAAAGATTTGCATAAATATCAACCAAAACTAGCACTGGCTGCTCGGTCAATGAATGCCAAATGTTTCCTTATAGGGAAACGGTTAATATTTCCATTACCATTCTCAAAAAAAAAAAAAAAGAGGGAGTAATTCGCATATTCTTCTGGCCTTTGTCCCAACACACAAATATATTTGCATCGTCGGTGATAAAAACATTTTCATTTTTTACCAACTACCAGAATAAGATCAATTATTTTACCTTGGTTAAAAATTTGCAAGAAGGAATTTTTTGAAATGCTTAATCGCTGTCAGTACACTGATACCACATTTTAAGGGAGAAAAATGGGGAAACATTGCTCCAATAATGCCGGTTATTCCTAGATACCAACACTAAGTCAGCAGTTCTTCATTATCAACAGTTTCATTATAAAATAAATAGGAATAATGTATTACTGTACTTTTAATCAACTCACACCATCCACTTTGACACTGCAAGATACCTGTACACTGTGTATATACAGTTTTGTGCTACTGTTAAAATCACCATTTTCCGCTTTTTTTACTCTTCTTCCAGACGTCATCGTTACGGAAAATGATGAACATAAAACCACATAGACAAACTGATAGATAAAAAAAAGCGGAAAACCCTTTGAGAAATAAGCTACACGTGTGACAACCCGCCAACTCGGGTTTAACTCGTGTAACAGCGGGTTATATATATAGGATATATATAAACTGTCCGTAGCGCCCGGCACTTACAAACTAAATCGGCTGCTCCAGATTTTGCCCGTTCATTCCGACATCTGTTAAAGGGAAGTCCGTAATACCGAGGTATGAATTTACATCAGACTTCACATTCAATAAGATGACTTCAAAGTCAAAGTTTAATTCTCTGATATGAATGAGTGGAAACTAAATCTGTAAAATATATTAAGAATAATTTAATAATAGGGCTGTTTCTCTCTCTATATATAAACATTCTATCTATCTATATATCTATCTCTGTCTCTTTCTCTCTCTCTCTCTATATATATATATATATATATATATATATATATATATATATATATATATATATATATAAATAATTAAGAAAAATTTCTCTAACGAATGCACACTTCATATTTGAAATAGACGGTCCGTGGTTACTTTCAAACAGTGTTTTAGTCTATCAACCTGCGCATTTGAAAAATCTGAATAAAGATAAAGTACTCTCCAGCTGGGATCGAACCTGCGACTACCTTGGATCCGGAGTGCTTTATCGCTCAATCGATAGACGTAATACACAATGCTTAAAAAACAAAACAAAAACAAAACAAAAAACGGTGTTTATTTGAAACACGAGTATCCACTATAATAACGTTTGAAGTAATAAAAATATCGGAATGAAAATTATTCCATTTATTTTTTACACCTACGCGCACACACACACGCACACACACACATATATATATATATAAGACATTGTATATTAAATTGTGTATCGTAATTTATATATATAATTGTATAATATAATTGTAATACACAAACGCAGATATATAATATATATATATATATATATATATATATATATATATATATATATATATATATATATATATATATATTACATTTTATTATAAAATATATATTAAATTTGATATTGTAATATATATATATATATATATATTGTATATTTTAATATATATATACAATTTTATATTGCAATATATATCAATTTTATTATGTTAATATGTATTAAATTGTATATTGTAATATATATATATATATATATATATATATATATATATATATACATTTATATATATTAAAAGTATATATATATATATATATATATATATATATATATATATATATATATATAAACATATAGACATAAACAGTCCAAGTAAATATATTTTACCTTTATATATTTTTAATTATTTTGTCCAGCATATTCTGTCGCGGCATGATTTTTTTTTTCCTTATTTTTTTTCTTCTTTTTGCCAGTATTTTTCTTTGTTCTTTTTTTTTCTTTTGCAGGTAATTTCTTCCCTGATTTTTTATGGACGCTAAAAGCACCTGCTTGTGACATTTTCAGCTTGAAACCATTTAAGAACCTGCAGAGTTCTCTCCCTTCCTTTGCTTTCCTCGCACTTAACATATTTTCCTCGCCCCCACACTCCACCTTCATCCCACGCCTCTCCTCTTCTTCTTAATTAGCTTACAGCACCAACAGAGATTATTAGATTCAATCAGCACGGTCATCATCAGCACTATCGTCCATATCAGATTCATTATAATCAAAAATAAATTAAAAAGAAATCAGGAGAAAAAGAAGAAATGTCGAATGATTTAATCAGTTCAAGTCACAAGGCTAATACAATCGTTGCAGTGTCTGTGGTAGTCTTGGTTGCCATAGTAACAGCTCGGGTCATGACACTTCAACATATATTAGCGAAGTCGTAAAGATCACCGTTTGGCGTTTATTTATTTATATCCTGCTCACTCTTTATTCCCCGAGTGTAGTTTGAACTGTGAAACATACAATAATTTATTTGATTAACACTCAACGTTATTAAAGCTGAGCAAGAGTCTTTCTTTAGGAAGGAAAATGGCCGAGAAGAAAATACAATAATTATATAGGCCAAACAGAATTATTGTAGTGAGTTTGATCCTTACTAGATGAGATGCCCATATAGGTGTCCTTTTGGGGGACTATGCTTATAGCCAAGAAACATACGTTTACCTCGGATAATGCTGCAAAATACGGCTTAATGTGAAGGTCGTTTCGAATACCATTATTTTCGAGTAGAGAGTTCTAACCTGAATGGGTACTCAATATTTCTGGCTTTCTAACTTCTACCTAGTAAATAACCATATTCACGTTTATAGCACCTGCTGTAGAGCATTGCTTCAGAAGCCCATATCGCAGACGAGTTTTTTCTGAATAATCCTTTTACCGTAAATCGGGGAGGTCGGTTCGCACTGGATGTCGTACTATTAAGGCATTGTGTCTCTCAAATATAGCCTCTTCTACTCAAATATCGAGAAATTTGCAATAACTTTCGTATTTATTGGGATACTGCTGTAATGCTGAGCAAGCTCACCGAGTGCTCCATACTTTCGGCCTTGTGCCACATCTGACCTATGCTTAACGACTAAGTAATGAGTTCGATCTTCACTGAGTCCTCCATCCTTTCGGCCTTGTGCCACATCTAACGTATGTTTAACGACTAAGTAGTGAGTTCAATCTTCACTGTGTGCTCAATACTTTCGGCCTTGTGCCACATCTGTATGTATGTATGTATGTATTTATGTATCGCTGACCACCCGTATTCGAGGATACCTGTCTACTAGGGCGGCTAGCTAATCCCTATTGCAGACGCTTGCTCAGGCGCATTTGTGTTTATTCATCACCCACAGGGCCCAACAGTAGTTTATACTGCAACTATGCTGAGCAGACCTTAGTTACAGTTTCTGGGAGAGAACGTGTTATCTAGCGTGATCAACAATTTGAACAAGGCCAGTACACTCAAGTCCTCGGCCATGATGACTTGTGAATTCGTGCCAGGTTTCCGTCTACCCAATTTCGCTCACAAGACTTGGTATGGTGTTCGCACGCTGGGATCGAAAACTCCAGTCTGGTATCATCAGAAAGTCTGCTTCCTGACAAATCGACCTTGGTGAGGTTCGAACCCATGTCTCATAGTCAGAATGCGATCATTCTAACCACTCTACCACGTGTCCATCTAAACTAAGCTTAATGATTGAGTAGTGAGTTCGATCCTCACATTCGTGCATTATCCAAGCTACGCCTATTAAATTGCTATACCGTATATACGCGTGTATAAACAGACTTCTTGCATACTGTGACCCGTAATTTTTTTGTATGAATTTTAACCCCTCCAGATAAAATTTATCTGTATATAGTACAATCGATCTCCAAAAAGACCCTTATCAATTTCCTCCTTCAGTGATGTTTTTTCTTAGCATTCCTTGTCCTATAGAAGACATATTTATCTTCAGAGATGAACATAGAATTTACAAGATACATCTAGGCACATCACGTAATTAGTTTAGGTCGTAAGGTTGCCACATGTACTACATGGTAGTATATCTAGGTAAGATAACCTGACGAAATCCACCCCTCTTCAAGTAGTTTTGAATTCAGCATTTTGTTACCTCAAGGCAAGAAAGGTCAGTCTGCCCAGGAAGCTGGCTTTTCCAAGAGCATTAACGTGAAGAGATCGTTCTCTGTAAAAAGATTAGATAAATTCGCCTATCGCCCGATTCACACCCCTCTCCAGTCTTTTGAACAGGAGTAGAGGTTAATCCCTTGTTTCCTGTTTAGGAGTGGACTGATGAAAAGAAACCGAATCGTACTGGAATCGAACTCTCATAGTATACTCCTACTAGTTAACCCATAGATGGGAAGACAAAAATTTAATAATTTAACGTAACGAACATTGCTGGAATTCGAACTCGGGTTAGTGATTTCTGTTTTCGGATCGCTAAGTTGTTAGCAAAAGGATGAGCCCAAAATGCAAATTATAAATCAGAGATACCAAAATCAAACAAGAACAAAAATTTAAATGAGGATGGAAAATATGACACTGATTTCAGAAGGCGTATTGGGCCTCCCAAAATCTAAGTAGAATATTAAGAAACAAAAAGAGTACTGAACTGTTACGTGAGGGTACCATGGACGGAATATGTTACGTGAGGGTACCATGGACAGAATATGTTACGTGAGGGTACCATTAACAGAATATGTTACGTGAGGGTACCATGGACGGAATATGTTACGTGAGGGTACCATGGACGGACTATGCTACTTGAGGATACCATTGTCAGAATATGTTACGTGAAGGTACCATGGACGTAATACGTTACGTGAGGGTACCATGGACAGAACATGTTACGTGAGGGTACCATGGACGGAATATGTTACGTGAGGGTACCATGGACAGAATATGTTACGTGAGGGTACTATGGACGGAATATGTTACGTGAGGGTACGATGGACGGAATATGTTACGTTAGGGTACCATGGACAGAATATGTTACGTGAGGGTACCATGGTCAGAATATGTTACGTGAGGGTACCGTGGACGGAATATGTTACGTGAGGGTACCATGGACAGAATATGTTACGTGAGGTTACCATGGACGGAATATGTTACGTGAGGGTACCATGGATGGAATATGTTACGTGAGGGTACTATGGACGGAATATGTTACGTGAGGATACCATAGACGGAATATGTTACGTGAGGGTACCGTGGACGGAATATGTTACGTGAGGGTACCATGGACAGAATATGTTACGTGAGGTTACCATGGACGGAATATGTTACGTGAGGGTACCATGGACGGAATATATGTGAAACGAAGAAATATTTAAAAAAGAAAACAACCTGAAACAACCAACAATGAAGGTTATAATTAACATCAGGAAGAGACAGTTAAAATCACTAGAACCCATAATAATGAAAGAGGGTTCGGAAAATCTGTTACTCAAAGGCCAGTTTGAACGCAAGAGGAGCAGAGGAAAAACAATGCATATCTTACATAGTTTGCTTGAGTAAATGCACAGCGTAACAAGATTTCGGAGAAACAACAAAATGACAAAATTCATTAAGAGCTGCGAAGGGTAGGAAATTGTGAAGAGCCATGATCGCCGCGGCGCATCAAGTAAAAGGAGAAGACGTTACACTACCAGCTCCTCTTAAATGGCAGATCATCTCTCAGCAATTTCTTCAAATTATTAGAAATGTTGTACTTATCGTATCCAGTAGTTTTAAAAATGTGCATTGTGTCCATAATTTTACCGCTATTAAAAGTTTGTGACTAACAAACGGTTACCAAATAACCCCCCCCAATATGTACCTGATTTCTTTTGCATTAAACAAAGTCAGGTGGGTCACGTGACAGCTGCTTAGCGACGTCACTTCATAGAGTGACGAAAGTGGTCAGTCAGCTTCCAGGAGTCAAACCGAGCAGTTGCTTTTTAGATCTGGGCCGCATGGTGCAGCTAAGAAGACAATGGCACCGATTTACTATAGAAATATGTATTCACCAGATATTAAAAAATGTCTCCGGCTCGCAGTCTTCCATTTCGGAAAATTCCAGTACTCACTGTTTCCCGTTAGGGGAATATATCCCCGATATCGACGTTGCAAATAAATCCGGCCCGCTCGAATTTGGAATCCTAAATATGGCTTCTTCAGAAACACAAAAGGGTTTCCAAAAACACAGATCAATCTCCATATTATATGTAGGACCCTATCTTTACGCCCCTTTTCACACTGCTTGTTTTGTAGACAAGTGTTGTGGTTTCTCTTTGTAAGGCAAGTGTAAATATGCATATATAATTTTGTGTTCGACCTAGCTGTATAACAAATCATCTGAGAACAAAGAATATTTGTTATAACTTTCTTTTCAGCCAATCCGTTTGTTCCGTCTGTAAAATAAGGCGTTATTATATCGAGGATATAATCAGACCCATAACGGGGAAAGCAGCTGGCAGAATATTCGTTTCTTCCGTAGCGCCCTCATTATTTGGCTCAACCCAAATGAACCTCCATTAGGTACATATCTCAACGGACATACATGATTTAGTGTTTGCTACATGTAAATCTACGATTAAAAGTCATCTGAGTTGTAATCTCAATTTTACTCCAACATATTCCAGCAGCTTTTTAAAAATGCCTCAGTTTAATTGATTGTATCGCTAGTTTAGCATTTTCAAATGTCATCTTCAGTTGGAACTTGAAATGTTAAATTATAAATTATTCCAACAATCGAGATATTTTCTTTTCCGAGTCGATGTGTCGGCTTGTATTGCTTTATAATTAAATAGGATTCGATAAATTATGATTCTCTTCACTGAAAAGAAAACTGTTACACACACACACACACACACACATATATATATATATATATATATATATATTATGCTAGAAGATTTTGTGTGCGTATGTCTGTGTGTTCACTCGAAACCCAGAAAATGAAATATATACAACGTTAGTTGTCTGCGC